GTGAAACAGTATCAATTTAGTGCAACCAATATAAATAGGGGTTTCCATCGTTGTTGTTGATGTTACTTTGGAAGTAACCAACTTACTTGCAAATCAGTGTTGGATATCGCGGGTCTTTCCATTTGATAAACTGCATCATTGCTGATGGACCATTGGTAATTGTAAATGCAGTAACAATTAGTGCAACAGTTAGTGTAACACGTTGTTCAGTTTTTGCATAATGTATTTGTGCATCACGTGTTGATCTGTAAAAAATGCCAATAAATTTGTTCAAAAATATAATTATCTGTAAGACAACACATCACAAATTAATTGGTTTCTGTTTCTGTTGTTGATGGTGGTGGTGATGCTGATGGTAGTGGGAATAATGACAGCAATTAGTGATAATGCCGACTGGTCACTGGAAATTTGATCTACATACAAAAACACTACCATTTTAGCTTGAAACGTTATTTGTATTTACAGAGTGATTTGGACTTGAAAAAAAAAGCTGTAAAAAAAAAGGAAAAAAACTGGGGTAATCTACCTTGTCTTCTGCAGTTCACCATTTAAAATACCATTTTTACGTTTTCGTAGAGCCCATAACAGAAGGGTGTTGAGGATGATCAAAGTGATTATTGGTATAATAACCATAACCACAGCATGAACAATTTTACTTGCCGCAATAAATTTTCTTAACCGTATCGAATATGGATTTGGTTTATTTCCAAAACTAAACAGTATCTTCTTTTTTTTTTTTCTGCTGCAATTTCGTAAAAACAAAAAAAAAAAAAAAAAAAAGCGACAGAAAAAGAACAACTTCCATTATGTTTTATCACCAAATTGTTATAAATTGGCTATAAATTGTTACAGTTCTCTGTTAGATTTATTTTATTTGATGTTCACAGATATAATCGACAACATGTTCTCATATTTACTGGGAAATTTTGTTTTTAAGTAGCAAAAGAAAAAAAAAGTTTTCTTTTCAATCAAACCTAAAACACTGTCACATTTAGCAAAACACATACACACTTTAAAAAAAAGTGTTAATGCAAAATGTTATTAACTTTTGATCTTTATTTAGCATTAATTTTCAATATTTGTCAGACTTATCTAATTTTTCACTTTTTCAACATAATAATTTGAAAAAAAAAAAAATTTTTTTTTTAAATGTCATTTGTCTTATTTTTTTTTTTTCAATTCCTTTTAATTTTCTCTTAGTTTGTTATTACCATTTACTTTTCTGTTTCAGCTGCCGCTGTTTGACAAAATGCGTCAACAAATGGTGAACACTTCAAAGAAGAATGGGTATTTGAATGTTACTATTTAGGCTAGAATTTAGCATTGAAAAAAAATAATATAGAAGTAAAAAAAAAAAGTAGGTAAGATTGAAAAGAATGCGAAAAGCAAAAACAAAAAGAAACGCAAATTTAATGACTGCAATATTTTTTTGCTTAGATATTAAGCTAATTCTCCTATACACTCATTTTTTTAACATAAATTAACCTCTCATCATCCCTTATTACCCTCTCACCTCATTCATTTCCGTTCTTCCGTCTCCCAGCTTCCTGCAACCACATTTTTCCTTCCTAAATCATCGTTCACTGATTTATCACCTCGGTCCCATCTTAACGACCGACAATTGACATTCAGTAATAAAAAAGCTTCAGAAAATTGATCATTACAATTTAATTTAACCTTTAATTTATTGCCCAGTAATTGATGCAAATGGTATCGTAACCGTCTTCCGGCTATCTGACCACATTTTCGCATCAATTGTTTTCGACCTTCTAATTCTTTAGTATTACAAAGAAAAGCAACTTTTCATAATCGATTAGATTGCAAAAAAAAATTATTTTTTAAGTAACTCGTGTATATTTTGTGTGAACGATAAAAGCGTCATTTGATATTGACAGTTTGTTATCGGCTTTCTTTAAACTTACTTATTTTTTTCTTTTACAAAACAAAAAGAAAAAGCGAAAGAAAAAAACCTGATAAACATTTTGACAGTTTGTTCTGAATAATAGTTTGACGTAGTTTGTTCCTCATTCATTCAACTTTTTCGTTTATTCAATAAATTCAAAAAAAAAACTTTTTTTTTTGATGACATTTATGCACACCATTAAAGATAATGTTTCAGCATATTGATTTAGGTTGCCTTATCGGAAAAAAAAGAAGCAGTAAAGTAGGAAAAACGTTATTTGACTTTATCGTCATTGCTGACCAAATTAACTGTTTTTAATCAGCCATCTGACTTCTTTTGACTAACCGTTGATTAAAACGAACAAAATGTATTTAAAAAATTCAAAAAAAAAAAAAAAAATGCTCAAATAAGACGGTAGCATCTTACTTGAGCAAAAAACGATGATCGAGGATTAACAGCTGTAACTATGAGATAAAATTCTGTGATAAAATGCAGATTAAACTTGTTGAAAGATGACAAAGACCAAGGGTAAGACGATGTGATTAGTGACGCTGTTAAGATAGTACCGTGTATTCCTCTTATTCAATCAGATCCTAACTAATTAAAAGACAAGAACAAATTAGATGCTAACAACATTGTAATTAGCTTGAGAATATCTACAAAAAAAAAAAACAGTTATAAGTTAAAAAAGTGGAAAAAAACTACTTAATTGTAATTTAATCGAAAGAAAAAACTTTGTTACCTAATTTTCAGCTAATATTTGTATCCTAATACTGCTTCTAATACCAATTTTTTCTAAGCAAAAAAAAAAAAATGAAAGCATGGACAGCTGATTTAGAAGACTAATTCTTTTAATTTTTCCTGGTGCTATTTTTTTCTAAAGGAAGTGGAAAGAGATGGAGTTTAGACGCTTACGTTATACATATGTCAATTAAAAATATCTGCATCTCAAAACCATAAAAATAAATATAAAATTGCAAAAAAAAGAAAGGCTGATTAAAATATGCTTCAATTCTACAAAAAACAAAAGTTTTTTTTATCAATAAAATCAATTAAATGTATACAACGCAATTAAATGATTGAAACAAAAATTTTTTGTTTTCTTCTTTTCTTTTGCTTCTATTTTTTTTAGTTTTAATGTTTAAATGATGCAATTCTATTGTAAGAAATTAAAAAAAATAAGTGAAAAAAATT